GTCGGCTTGATTTTCTCCCTGCCGTCAGCTGGTGGTTCAGGAGCTGCTGCCCTGGCGTTCTTTTCCCCCCGAGCGGTGCGGGCGGAGGAGGCTGGAGCGATAAATATCCCTGTGGCTGCAGGCGGGCTGGGGACAAGAAGGGCCCGCCCGGGGGCTGCGGGCAGCGCCCTGAGCTGGGCGCTCTCCTGGGGTCTCTGTGCACGGGCTGCGGCTTTGCAGGGCTACGGAGGCGTGACAGGACCCGGAACAAACCCGTATAGGTGAACTCCGTGTATTTAAATTAGCTTGGGATGACGTTGGAGCTGGTCACAGTGGTGGACAAATCCGAGCAAGAGCTGGTGGAACATTGAACCGTAACAGGCGTCGTTAAAGGTTGATAAGTGCCTGAGTGGTATGCCGTGTGTGCCTCTTTAGCTCTTGAAATCCCTTCGTTGTATGTGCCCGGCAGTCTGTACAAGAGAGACAAGTAATTTTTTTATTATTAATTCCAAAAAAAGGAACACATTCTGTTATCCTAAGTCACTCATTAAAACTTGCCAAGTGCCGTTTTCCTCAGCCTTTCAGTTGTGAGATCAAAATTTCAGTAAAGAAACTGAAAAATATTTCCTCTTGATTAAAAGGATTTTATATTAATTACATCTGATGTATCTAATGGATATTCTCTGTTGTGTCAATCTCTAGTGATATTCTCTGTGGTAAGAATGAAACAATGGAAGGTAGCTGCTGGCCTTCTGTACATTGGAAGATCCTGAATATGCCAGTAAAGTCTAAAACCAATTCATTTTTCAACTTTCTGTGATGAAGGTTGTACAATGCAAGTAATTAATAAAATGTGTAGTAAGTTGCTGCTGTCAGCTTTTTAATTTAGATGCAACACACAGCAATTAACTCAGGCTTTCCTTCTGTGTTTGTTATGAAAATAATATCGTAAGGAGGAAAATAATAATTATGTATGTTTTTACTTATGAAGTGGAAGTTGACAATGCTTATAAACAAGGCAAATTAGGCCAAGGCCTAGTTATACTTGTAAGTAAACAGCTGTTCTGACTGGCAGAGTAGTTGATAGGGCTGCAGTCCTAATATGCCACCCCACCCTCCACTGTTTTGGAAAACATAGTAAGTTTAAAAAAAAAAAACTCAGAGAGGAGGGGGTAAAATCCATCTAGATTATGAAAAGCTAATCTGAGAGAGAAAAATCCATCTTCCTTTAATGGAAGAGTAAAGATAACAATTAGAAATAAGGAGCCGAATAAGCACTTGTGTCTTAAATCAAGTGTTGAAGCTGCCCCTTGAGCATTTGCTAATCCCATTCCAGCTGAAATGGGTCAGGTACCTCTAAATAGTTACAAGCATCTCTTTACTAACCAAGCTAATATTTGAAGTTGTCTGTATGTGAAGTAGAAAAAGGCCTATTTTGAGTAACAGCATAATTAATCCCTTCAGCCTTGGGGTCTGGGTATGAACTCCTTGACAAGTTGTCTAGACATTTTAATGTCTCCCTCTTTTGCTACTAATGTTTCTGTAGAGATCGTTGATCCATCAAGTACAGCTCTTGCCTCCTGTCCCACTCCTTTCTCTCTTCTGGTTTCAGTTGGTAATGCAAAGCAGGTTTTTTCTTTATTTTTCACTTTCTAAAGCAAGGGTTGTATAGTGTAAAAAAAGTGCTAATGCTGCCTTTAATGTTGTCCTGTCCTGTTAATCTTGTGCTGCTTTTGTTTGCAAATAAGTCTAAGCAGGGCAAGCAGAGCATTCAAGGAGAAACTTAAGCCTGGCTGTAGTTGGTGTACCAGGGGTGGTAGCTTTACAGGTCTCCAAACTGAGCAGTGAGCTAGCTAAGCCACATTTGAGCAGCCTCTACAAACAGAGCTTGACTTGTGCTGCTTTATATTTTGACTGGAATCTGTATAAAACAGATGTATGTACATCTAAGCCACTGAACTAGAAAAATCAAACGGTTAAGAGCATGAGGCTCTCATAGCAGCGTTAGCTGCTGATGTTTTCATTGAAAGCCTTCCATAAACAAAAACAATACTCAATTTCCTGCATCAGCTCTCTTAAACAGTCTGCGTCATTCAATGTTGTTTTTCTTCCATTGTATAATGCCCTTCCAGAATCAGCAGAACCACAGTAAATACATATAACTGAGAGAAGCCAAAGTTAAATTGTCTTGTTTAATCTCAGTAAGATGCTGACAAGAATATCCTGAAATCAAAACTGATATGAAGCTGAAATGTGTCCAAAGCTTCTGCTGTATGTAGTGTCAGCCTTAGTGGGTTCCAAAGCTTTTAATTTCCTGGTTATCTATTCTAACTGTCTAGAGCAATGCAAATAAGTTGTATTAAGATGATAGCAATTTGGATCTTATATCCTCAAGTTTTCTTTGAAAAAGTAGTTGTGACTTGTAAGTTAGGTCAGGTTATTTAAAAATCCCAAGCAGGATTTTTTCTCATTTATGCTGATGCTGGCTAAAAGAGCAGAAGTTCATTTGGAAACCCGTAACCTGAAGGGTATTTTTTAGTAAGTTTGGTTTGGTTTTCTTTTGTGAAGTCCTCAGTATTTTATTTTCTTCCACAGTAGTACCTCTAGGCGGCAGAACCAACCTCAAAGGCACTACGGAATTACCTCTCCAATTAGCTTGGCTCCTCCTAAGGATATAGATTTCATTCATACCCAGAAATTAGTTGATGCAATGAAGCCATTTGGGGTATTTGAAGAAGAGGAAGAATTGAATCACAGGTATAACAAGACTAAAGTTTGTAAACCTCTGGGGGTTTTTTAGGGCAAAATTAACCTCGCTTTTCCTTACAGGTTGGTTGTTCTTGAGAAACTGAATAATTTGGTCAAAGAATGGATTTCAGAACTTGGTGAGAGCAAGGTAAGGATATTCTATATGTTCTTAAAACAGCTGAAGCCTTATTCCTTTTGAAGGCCATGCTACTAGGATTTATGCTAAAGTTCAGCTTAACTTTCTTCTGAAGTATTAAGCAGAGCTGTAGTAACTACCATTGAAATATGGTATAAAAGATACTTCAGATCAAGATCTTGAAGTCTTTGAACAAATTTGAAGTGGCTCTTATCAATTGACTTGTGGCAGTTAACAAAGCTGAAACATCCCATTGTGGGGTGAGATAGTGGTAAATGGGCACTAGTCTTGCCCCATTAGTCTACAGCACTCCACCTACTTTGAAATTATTACAGCAGACTTGTCTTTTGTATAGCTCTTGGGTTGTGATAATGTAAGTGCATCTGCTGAAGAGAAGACTAATAATAGGTCTTAATTTGTGTAAATTAATGAAAGGATTGCTACATTACTCATAGATTTTTGGAGTTGCAAGTGCTCACTTCAGGAAAACTATCAGTCTATTAGACTAGCAACTCAGTGTGGAAGTGAGAAGACATTGTTATGGAGGCTGTTGTAGTCTTTCTAAGTAACTCATACACTAGTTTAAACTTGCATATAATCAACATGTATAATATATTCTCAAGTCAAGTCTTTCTCTTCTACCCACAGAATCTTTCCCCTTCAGCAGTAGCAAGTGTTGGTGGCAAAATATTTACATTTGGTTCTTACAGGCTTGGAGTACAAACTAAAGGTAGAACTGTCATTGTTTTATCATAGTTCTAGTATTTCAAAGTGTTTCCCAACAATAACAGAAGAAATGGCATCTCTTTGCAGGTGCTGACATAGATGCTGTTTGTGTTGCTCCTAGACACGTGGAAAGATCAGATTTTTTTCAGTCATTCTTTGAAAAACTAAAACATCAGGAGGAAATAAAAAATTTAAGAGTAAGTTCTCTCCTTGATAGATTGTGCAACTTCTACAATAAGAATATTCATGTTAAAGATTTGTATTGGTGATAAATAGAATCATAGAAAATGTCATATAATCATAGTAAATGTCTTACAAGCAAAAAAAATGTTTCTGAGCACCTTCTAAAATACTATTTAATGCAGCAAGAAAATGCTGAAGTCAAGATTTTGGCTTCTTTCCCCAAAGACTGTACATCACACAATCTTTCTGGTACACTTCTCTCCCACCCATGTTTTGGAAATGAGTCAGCTGTGTCAAAGCAATGTTGCCCCTAGGAGCCTTGCTTTACTCTTAGGTGTAGTGAGAGGCTTGTAAATAAGGTAATTGCATGCAGGAAGAGGCAGCCTGAAAACTAAGGAAGTTGAATGTAATGTGGAAAGGCTTCTGTCAGTGCCTTTGCCCCATGGGGTTACTCTGGATGTGCTTTAGGGTCTCTGATTTATTCTCCTCTGGTCGTGTTCCTCTCTGACTACTCAGCCTGAGGCTGCAGAAGGGATGCACCCTGTCAGCTTCACATACAGTTAATAGGAGCTGTGCTGTTAACAGACAAAAGTGTTTTGTAAAAGTGCTCTCAGGTATGTATGCTGTGTACCTTGCATGTAAAACTGAAATCCTGATACATGTTTCTATTAGCCTAGTACTTCTCCTGCAGACTTTTTGAAGGACTTCATATGCATAGCTAATGGGCTTACATTTAGGTAACTGTCACCTGAAAACAGACTCACAGTAGGCTGCAGCATAGTTTCTAGCAAGTGGTCTACAAAATGAAAACTGTAGGTAGCTGATGGCATCTCAGTCACACTAGAAATAAAAATACAGGAGACTAGTGTGCACTGCCATTTTTTTAGATTTCTGTGGATGTTAACCAGCACAGAAATACCTTTTCTTCCTGGCTACCAAGCCAAGTACCTTACACCCACTGATACTGGTAGCTTATTGTGCACTGCTTGTTTGTTACAATACACAGTCAGCCTCTGAATCTTTGGGTAAGTAACTTTTTACAGCTGGTTATCAACACAGAATTAGTGCAATACTGCTTGCAGCTTATAAACGTTTTTGTTGGTTAGGAAGCAACTCGGTCTTTATACTATATTGTTTAGCAGTGTAAATGCTGTATCACATTTTAGAAAAAACATTCAAGTAGCAAAAGAGGTTTTCTTACTCAGTTATTTTATCCTTTACAGGCAGTTGAAGATGCATATGTACCAGTTGTCAAGTTTGAATTTGATGGCATTGAGGTAAGCATTTCAGTTTTTGTTTCTTTAAGTGACTAAATTTGTTTCTTGCATTGTAATAGGATACCTTTTCTAGGGACCTGTGACTGGGCTGTTTTGGAAGATTATTGCTATCTTAAAATATATTTAGAAAACTGTAATTGAAAGGCCTGACCTCAGCCAATCCTAGGAGAAGACACTGCAGTAGTATGAGAGCTTATAGGAAAATAAACACCTAGGAAGTCTGGCAGGCATGGGAAAAGTAGGGACTTCTTTTTCTAAACCTGCCATGGTAGCCTGCTTGAATAGCACTTATCTCACAAGGGTTGCACAGAGGGGTAGTAGAGGCAGTGTCCTTGCTAACTCTCCTTAGCTCTACTAAGCTACCTTTCTATGAAGGACTGCAAGTGGTGTAGCTCACTGTATGAACCAAGAGCAAACTACATGTTTTGTTGCAAATCAAATAATGAGGCAGTTAGGAGACAGTCTGGAAAATAAAAATAAGAGTGCTCATTTGACTCCTGCCTAGATTCGTCAGCTGCAGAAAGCCTTTGTATCTTGGATACATCTTGTTCAGTGGATAAAGATCTGCATGCTATACCTACATACTTATGTAGTATATAAGCAAGTTACTGCTTGGTATTACTATAATGAAGACACTCATTAACCTTTTTGTGGCCTTTATTCTGTAAATGTCTGTACAGATAATTTTCTTGCCTCAGACTGTACTAAAAAGCAAATACTTGAGGATTAAAAGGGCTTGCTGTATAAAGAAAATTCTTCCTCCTTTAATGAAGTATAGTTGAGGTGATTTAGCTTATCTATGTCTTAACTCTATGATTAATTTTAAGTTCCCTTTAATGGAAATTCTAAACTTACAGTATCTTTTTAACTTGAAAAAACTCCTATCTTAAAGAAAGAGAATGCAATGAAGGTTTTGTACATGAAATGTAGAACTCGTACTAATTTTCTGGCAAATTTCTTGAGAGGTGCATCTATAGTCACAATGTTAACCATTCTTTTTAGACTTCAACTTTCCCCCACGAGCATGTTATTTGCAAACAGTGTGGCATCCTAACTCACAGTTGGCACTTTTTTCTTTTAAGATTGATCTTGTGTTTGCAAGACTGCCTATGCAAACTGTTTCTGATAACCTTGATCTTGGAGATGACTCACGTCTGAGAAGCCTGGATATAAGATGTATACGGAGCTTAAATGGTAGGCAAGTTTATAGATTCTTAAAGTAAGTGTTACTAAAATCAGTATAAAACGCACCTGAGTTTATGTACAAGGTGCAGAAACTGATCTCCTGTATACTTGAGATCTGGGGAGGTGGTAAGTGGATTTAAATTTGGATGTTTCAAGAAGTTGTGTGTTTAGACACTTGTATTTCATGTTTCTTTGGTCAAGGTGTGTGTGTTCCAGTTTGCTACAGAAACTGATTTGGTAGGAAGAGCACTTGATCCAGAAGAATCTGTTGTAGCTCAATAAAATAAAATTAAATGCCTGGAGCCTAACATGTTCACTGTTTAATACTGACTTGTTTAGTTGTTCCTGGTTGTCAAAGGAAACTGAGCTTTTGGAATCCTGTAGAAAGGCCTTATAAATTGTTGATTGTAGTCTAAACTATAAAAAAAGCTGCTGGGGGCAGCAGTTACCTGAGGTGGTACTGAGTGTTACGTGTAATCTATAACTTATAAAGTAATACAAAACAAGTAATTAAAACTTGCTTTCATAAATTTGAATGTTAAACTGTAAACTACTGATCCAGTGTATAGCATAAAACCGATTGGTACCTATTTCTAGGAACTTCTGTACTTTCTTCTTGCAGGCTGCAGAGTTACTGATGAAATACTACATCTAGTGCCAAATAAAGAGAACTTCCGACTCACGCTCCGTGCTATCAAGCTGTGGGCAAAACGTGAGTAGTGATCTTTAACCTTTCCAGAGGCACCTCATGCTGAAAAAACAGGACCATTATAAGCACTTCAGCTTTGGATAGCTGTTTAAATTGCAGTTTTTAACCAAAAGCTGCTTTAGTTTAGATTCAAGGTCTGTCCATGTGGTAAATTGTGTTTATTAATGGTGGTAGAGTGGGGAGGAAAGGGGAGTGTCTACAAGGCAAGGTACTGCATTGTTTATTGGGAACCTGACTACAAATGATAAAAAATGCCAAGTTAAGTACAAAAGCTTGATATGTAATAAGATACAGAATAAGAAAATCCACTTGCACATGTGGCTAGAGCAAGTGGTAGAAGAATGGTGGATGTATTTATTATGGGAGGTTGGAGTGATGCAGTAGCTGTAACAGCATAAGCAAATTTTGGAGTTGCAGTGTTCTGGGAAGTGATGTGCTAATGATTCTTAGCACTGCAAGGTTTAACAATTTTGGCCTCATTGCACTACAAAAGTAACTGTGCAGCTGAAATGTACAAAATATTCTATAGGTTATGAAGTTGGTACTGTAAATTTGAAGGAATATACTTGGCTATCGAAAGAGGACAGGCTAACTACAGTGTCTATTCTAGGACGTGGCATTTACTCCAACATGCTGGGATTTCTTGGTGGGGTTTCCTGGGCAATGCTGGTAGCAAGAACATGTCAGCTCTATCCGAATGCTTTGGCTTCTACTCTTGTTAACAAGTTCTTCTTGGTTTTTTCAAAATGGTAAGAGCTTTTTCTTTATTTTAATTTGCATAAAAAAGTAACACTTCCAGAGAGTTCTTCTTATAATATTTATCCTGACAACATTGAATCCTACCCTGAATTACATGGTAGAGTTTTATATGCACAGTTAGTTACTACTGGCTTTTGTTATGTAGGGAATGGCCAAAACCTGTAATGCTGAAACAACCTGAAGACAGCAATCTTAATTTACCAGTATGGGACCCTAGGGTATGTAGACACTGAATTCAGAAGCATTTAAACTTCTAACCTAAACTGATCCTAAGCAAAATTGTTTTAACATCATAGGTGAACCCATCAGACAGATACCATGTAATGCCTATCATCACCCCAGCCTATCCACAGCAGAACTCAACATACAATGTGTCTGCATCAACACGAGCAGTCATGGTAGAGGAGTTCAAACATGGTAAAGTTTTTTCCATGCTTATTAACTGATTAAGAGTAGAATTTTTGCTATATGAAACAACATTATCTGAGTTGGTTATACTGAACAAGTTGTTCTGCCCTCTTAGGTAGAACAGGTCTCTGAGAAGTACAGCTCTTGGAGGCAGTAAAGAACCAGTCTTAAAATGAACTGTTGTAGTAGACCTGCACTCTGTCAAGGGGGGATCCCTGCTTTTTGTTTTGTTAATTACTGTTTGAAATCTTTATCCTGTAAATTTTGTATCATGCTTTACTAGTCTTAAAACCAAAATAGTAATAAGGTGTTCAACCTTAATTGTAGGTCTTGCAGTTACAAATGAGATTCTCCAAGGAAAATCAGACTGGTCAAAGCTCTTTGAGCCTTTGAACTTCTTTCAGAAGTACAAGTATGTATGAAATATGTTGTCTGAATTTGAAATGATTTACCTACTGGTTAGTATAGTGCATTTTAACTTGCAATCTAATTAGAAGATAGCGTGACTGGTTTTTCAGAAACTGAAGGTAGTTATATGAATTTGAGTAAGGATCAATATAGGGAAAACAAAAAAACCTATGCCACTGACAGTTTTTATTAGGAAAAAATCAACTGGTATTTAGAATATAGCAGTCTTAAAGATGTCTTTCTTCAATTAATACTGTACTGAATATAGTATATAATCTTCCTTGTCTGGAAGTCATACATCTAAGAAAGTTTTGGTTTCACTTGAAGGAATATCAAGTCCTGAGCTAGTGTATTTTTGTTCTTTCTTCCAGACATTATATTGTGCTGACTGCTAGTGCCTCTACTGAAGAGCACCACTTAGAGTGGTAAGTCTTGTTTTAAATATGGGTTTGATACATAATTAAAACTCAATTTCATGTTGCACTTGATTTTTAGCTGTATTAAAAACAAAGAGTTAAACTGTGTACCTAGGCATGGAATACTGTAGCAAGTTAAGCAGACAGTTCACCAGCAAAATTAAAAGCTTTCTTCTGAGGGGAAGGTAACATAAATCTTGCTGTTTGAGTGATGAACCTAAAGATCTGAGTCATGATGAGAAGAAACTAAAAGGGCTAGTGTGTCTGAAAGTCAGATGCTGTCACCTGGAGATGCAGATGCAAGGAGTCTGGGAAAGCTGCTTACCCAACACTACTGCAGTTGAGATGTTTCTTGTTGCAGAGGCTGAAGCAAGCTGGGATTGCTTGATGTGATCAGATCTGTAATGGACACTATTGAGAGCTAGATCTTTTACTGACAGTAGTGGTCGACAAACTTTTTGGATTGCTCACTTCTATCAGGAAAAAAACCTATTTTTGAATACGTATTTGTAATGTGTTTGTACTCATTTACAAGTTAACTTCACTGAAGTTCTAATATTTTTCTTCCATACTACAATGGATTGTCTTGTACATCCCCTGAGGTACACCCTGTTTCCTACCCCCCCCCGACTCTGGAGACCACTGTTCTAGATCCTTAGATGATTTGATTTAGTAACTTTTTTGCTAGATGTTATATTTAATTTAGAACTAGATGGCACTCAACACTGCTTTGCTCTGATTATGTAGTCAGACTATTCCAGAGCCTACTTTTCTCCAGTGAAGTAAAACAAGGCTGTTTAATCTGGGTGAAATATGACAGTCTTCACAGAGCATCTGAATTCTCATAAATTGTATTTACTAAGTTTTAAGTCAGTGTTCAGACATCTTCTGTTTAGTGCTAAAAATGATCACTTTAGCACACTTGATAGTGCACAGGTAAATTACAGGAGTGCTGATCTACTTTGTGAAATGTGAGAATCACTTCAATTGTAATTGGAAGAAATTACTTTGACATGGCACTTGTCATTGTCTGAAAGGATATGTGCCAATAACTTTTTTAACCGATGCTAACCATAAATCTTGAAATAAGGGGAAATGGTGAGGAATTAAGGTATTGTAATGTGTATGTTACTTTGCAATAGTATTCTTCATTGAAAAGTTAGTTCTTTGCTTTTCTCAAGTAAGCAAGCAAAATAGATCTGTGTAACACACTCCTGTTTTGAGGGAACCTTTGTTACACTTCAAAGTTTGTCTTGTGCTTTAAGGCAAAATTCTTCTGCTGTCTCTAAAAGACAGCTAACCTAATGTTTAAAAATAGCTCTAATAGATGCTTTTCCCTGAATTTGCTGGTGTGGTCAGTTAAAAATCGTATCAGCTACAGCTTGATGTCAGTCACTGGTATAAAACAAGGAGTTACAGGCAGAGGCCTTAGAGACAAGTAATTTTTAATGTGAAATGTTTTTAAGTGAGCAAAGCTTATTGTGTATCTCAGAAAAGATGAGTAAGGTTCTGCCTCCAGTGAAAGCTAGTGTTTTTGCAGTGACAGATGAAGGCAAATTGAGGCTTTATTTTGCATCTGGGAAAACTAAAAAGCAGAAGATGTACTTGCTCCAGTTTGTCTGCTGTAAGAACAAGTTTAGTTCACCAGCTCTTGAATGGATTTGGGAATAGATGGCACATCTGTGTTCATCAACTTAGGATACTTTAGAAGAATGTACAAATTTCTGACAAATGCTTTCAAGCTTAACAGTGTTTTACATAAAAGGGTAAAATGCCAGTACTTAAATGAAAGGCCTTCTTGGTCATGACTCATTTCTTGGTTAAGTTTCTGATATGACTGTGCCAACTTGATTATATGTTTAATAAAGGAACTATATTTTCCAATTTGCCTAGAAGAGGGAACTCTCTTCACTGACCAGTCTGCAGGAAGAATTGCATCCTTTTTTAGGTGTAATTAAACACTTGTGCTTGAGACTTTTCTGAACTGCTCTGCTCCTTCAGCTTTGGGGTTAAAAGGAACTTTGCAGCACTTCAAAATGCATCCAGAGGTGCTGCGATCTGTTGCTTCTTGATAATTTCATCATAGATTGGAGGTGGAAGTGTTGTATCTGACCTGTTAAGAGTACATGTTAAACACATGTACTGCTATCTTTGGAAATGTGAAAGTTCAAATGTCACTGGAAACATCTTGAACTATAGTGTGTGTAGTATAAAAATCTAGGATCTACTCAGCAGAATTTAACTGGCTACTTATTGATTGATAAGCATTTTTGTGTCAGCATTATATTATGCAAAGGCATATAACTAATGTGCTGGATACAGCTAAAATTAGTACATCTTTTGTTCTTATTAGGATTGGCCTTGTTGAATCTAAAATTCGTGTGCTGGTTGGAAACTTGGAGAGGAATGAATTTATAACTATTGCACATGTACAGCCACAGTCTTTCCCTGGCAACAAAGAACTCCGTAAACAGTGAGTTTCCTTATTTTTCTGAAGTACAATTTGGCCAATGTATTGTAACTTGTTTCTATTCATTCATGTCAGCTCATCTGTAGGAGATGTTCAGTTACATACCTACTGTTTTGTAGGTATCAGCTCTGACAGGAGACGTTTTGAGCCTGTAAGATGTTTTAAGGAAGGGAAAACTTCATAGAGAAGCACTCTGAGAATATAAGTATGGGCTAATCTTTAACTGCTGTGTACAACTAAACTGTTTTGCTTAATCCCCTCTTTACTAGCATCCAAATAACTGCATAAATTAGATTTGTTAATCTGTCTTTTTAGGAGTGGATATGTGTCAATGTGGTTTCTTGGGATCATTTTTAGGAAAGTGGAAAATGCAGAAAGTGTTAACATTGATTTAACATACGTTATACAGTCATTCACAGATACAGGTAAGCCTATAGTTTATTCTAGTCCTGTAAGATTTAATTTTTTTAGTGAATGTTGCTTCACAAAGTGAATTGTGCTTGCTTCTGGTATTAGATGTTAGGTATTTTCTACGTGTTGCTCTCTATAGAAATTAGTTTGCCAAACTTTCAAATTATGTTTTAAAAGGTCCATCTTGAAACAAAAATGTGTACTACAGTCATAGACTCTATGTGAAATAACAGTTCTGCAGATGATAGTAAAAACATACAAAGCAACAGTGTTTCATGAAGTGCACAGTCAAATGTGAAGCCAGGAGTTGCCCACTTACTGGATGTAGTTATGCCTGTCAAAACCAGTTTTCAGTTGCAGAACTTAGAAGGCAGGAATTAACTGTATCAGGCTTAAAAATAAGTTAATAATGCCTATTGACAATATTCTTCCAAAACAACAGCTAGTGTATATGAACTCAAAACTTCAAAAGTCAATGAGTTGTCACATTGTAATTGCATGCAGTTTTGCATGTAAACCATCATGTTCATATTTAGTTCTTACTTAGGATAGATGTAGCAATAAAGTAATATTGCAAGAGTTGTTAGCTAATACTACAATAAAGGGGTATTGGTGTGAGGAGTGATTTGAAAGTCTTGGTCTTCTCCATAAACAGTTCCTCCCAAGCTCTTGTGCCTTTCAGAAGAGCATGTGTGCTGTCAGGCTTATGCCTAACTGTAAATAAGCACAAAGGAAAAGTGTTTGGACAAAGTTTCAAGCAGTGGACTCCTTAAAGTGTTTGTTTGCACTGATGAAGAGTTTATACATAATACCAGTGTGAATAGTATTGGCGTAAGCCAGATGGGATGACTTCCTTGGGCTCATACTTATCTGTTCTGATGCTTGTCTTGTACATTGCATCCAGTGGCACTGTTTCAGTGTTGTGGCAAATGTAGATTATGTCAACAAGGTTTATGTACTGCTAAGGGACTAGAAGTAATGTTAAATCCTTCATTTCTATGCACAGAATTTATTAGTATGGCTGTGTGTTCTTACTTTAGTGAAGCAGTTTATAGTACCTTTTGGATATAGGGTTTGAATCCAGAGAGATTGAACTGGATAGGTATTTCTTGAGAAATGTGAAATCCCTTGGCAAATGTGGGGGTGACCTGTGCTTATGTGACAGAAAATTTGTCACATACCTTGACTTTGAGAGAATATTTTTAAAAGCACAGATTAACCTCATTCAAGTTAAGGACTATAACACCCACTAGGGCTTCTGTTGAGTCAAGTTTACCTCTACTTTTACATATAAACAATATTGGATTTACTTTGAAGCAACTATTGGTATTGGTGAAAATGTTCTTATTTGTGTTTTTAGTTAACTTTCTCCTGTATAAAACCTTAAGCCTTTTTGTTGCATGTTTTGATTCCCACTCTGTATCTCAGTAAGCTGACTTCCTTATTAATCTCATGTTAGGCCTGTTAAGTATTTTTAATTGCTTAAAAAACACTTTACAGGCATTAAGAAAAGCCTATTCAAATTGTAAAGATTCTCTTAAGTCAGATGTCCCTAAAATCCAGTTTTATTTTCTTGGACAGATTGAATTTTGGCATTTAAACTAAAGTTACATGTTACACAACTATTAAAAAAAAAACAAACAACAAAACAAACTATCACCACTGTAAATATAAAATAAAAAAATAATCTGAATCTCAGGTAAGGTATGCGTCTCATCAGCTGTGCACAATTGGGTTGATACGGAAAGTCCTCTAGGTCTATTCTCAATCAGAAACCTTAGGGTTAAGGAGTATTTTCTCCTTCAGGATATCAGCTCAGATATTATCTGTGTGAGCTGCATGAGTAGCCAACTACAACTGTAACTGAGCACATAAATTAATATCTGGACTTAAATTGCTGTTGTGTAGCTGATCTGTACTGGGTGTGAAATGGGTGTCGGGTCACATTGATCTTCTTGAGGCTGTATGTAGAGTGCTGGGGTAGCATTCTGTGTTCAGTTAGGCTGGAAACTTCTTGCCTTTGGTCTGGTCTGGACAGATTTAAAAGACAGACTTCTTTTCTAAAGAAACCATATGTAACTGACAAACACCTAGTGCAAACATCATTGCTAAGCTACAACACTTTCTTGTTAGTTTACAGGCAGGCTAACAATCTCAACGTGTTAAAGGAAGGTATGAAGATTGAGGCAGCTCATGTGAAAAGAAAGCATCTCCACTATTTTTTGCCTGCAGAAATCTTGCAGAAAAGGAAGAAGGTATAATAAAAATTTAGCTCTTCTGGCAATATTTTTTTTGTCTAATAATTACTTGAAACTTTATTTTTTGTTGTTCCAGCAAAGCATGCCAGACGTTAGTCAAAATGCAAGTGGGCTTCAGTGCAAAAGGGCTTCTTCAGATGGAAGCTGTTTGGAAAGTTCCAGAGACATGGACTACAGAATATGTGGTTCCTCATCATTAAGCAAGATATCTAAATTGGACACCTCTACAGCAGAGATGGAAAGGTTAGCACCATAACTTTGGAACTGTGGAGAAACTGCTTTTAATTGACTCAATGTGTATTGATATGTCTAAGATATCTTGTTGGAATCACAGAATCACTTAGTTTGGAAAAGGCCTAAGATTGAGTCCAACCATCAACCCTACTTTGCCAAGCCCAGCACTAAGCCATGTTCCCAAGAACCACATCTAGATGACTTCCAAACACATGCAGGGATGGTGCCTCAAACGCTTTCCTGGGAGGCATGTTCCAATGTCTGACAAACCTCTCAGTGAAAAAGTTCTTCCTAATGTTTAGTCTAGACCTCCCCTGGCACAGATTGAGGCCATTCCCTCTTGTTCTATCACCAGTTACTTGTGAGAAGAGACTAGTACCTACATCTTTACAATTTCCTTTGAGGTAGTTGTAGAGGGCAACAAGGCCTCCCCTCAACCTCCCTTTTCTTCAGACTAAATAGCCCCATTTTCCTCAGCTGCTCCTCATAAGACTTGTTTCTCAAGGCCTTTCATGAGCTTCATTGCCATTCTTTGGACATGTTCCAGCACCTCAATGTCTTTCTTGTATTGAGGTGCTCAAAACTGGACACAGTATTTGAGGTGTAGTCTCACCAGTGCCCAGTACAGAGGGATGATCACCTCCCTGGTCCTGTTTGCCACACTTTTTAATACAGGCCAGGATGCCATTGGCCTCCTTGGCCACCTACTGGCTCATATTCAGCTGCCTATCAGTCAGAACCCCCAGATCCCGTTCTGCTGGACAGCTTTCCAGCCACTCTTCCACAAGCCTGTAGCATTGCATGGGGTTGTTGTGGCCCATGTGCAGGACCCAACACTTGTCCTTGTTGAGCTTCATACATTTGACCTCAGCCCATTGATCTACTCTGCCCAAGTCTCTCTGTAGAGCCTCCCTGCCCTGAAGCAGATCAGCACTCCTTCCAAACTTGGTGTTGTTTGTGAACTTACTGAGGGTGCATTCTATCTCCTCATCAAGATCAGTGGTAAAGATGTTAATGTTTAATGAAGAGCTGATTTTAATCACAGAAATCCTGGAGCTGTTGCTGACTTAGTGAAGCAGTATAAGAACTCCAGCAGTGTCTGCAGCTTCCTGGGACATCTATCACTGAGCTACCTGTGAACAGGAGGAATATGCAATTTTCAGAGTATTAGACCAGTGGTACCCAATGTTTAATGCCTGCTGTTCTCAGACTGGTACAGAAGGAGTAGCATCCAAAAAAAAAGTATGTGGTAGAGCAAATACATTCACCAAAAGCAGCACCGAGTGCTGGATATACTAAGCTGGAAAGAGTACAGTACATAGAGACTTACTGAAGAAAATGCTGAAGTTTAAATTTGTGATTTGAAGTTCAACAAAATTAAGATCTCACACTAAATTGCCTTGAGTTTATGGTGTTCAATAGAGCTGTGACAATGAGCTAAGAAGGTAGATGTTTGTTATGCATGACTTCGTGGAAACTGAATATATCGTATTTTATGAACTATCATTGTATAATTGTAGTGTGTGACTTTTACAGAAATGCTGTGTGTCAGAGATCCAGTGGTGCAAAGAGTAGAGAGAAGATGCCTCTTGTAGCTGTACCATCTGTGTCTAAAGGACTCCCCATTCCTGTTATTGATTCAAGTATGTATTGAATTAGTGGGTGAAATGTCTTTTATTTCATGGATGAACTCTAAAAGCTCTGTGTCCTGCAGAAATAGAGGCTACAGTTGCAATAAGGACATCTGGACCTCCAATTGGTTGCACCATCCCAGGACATAACACCTTTTCTCAACTCAGAGCACATTTTGTCCAAGGACAGCTTGATGTATGTGGGACTCCAGTTACCAGTCCTAAGATCACTGCACCCAAACGATGTTATTTACAGACCTCTAAAGGATGTCATTCACCTACATCAGAAGAATGCCCTGAAAAACCAATAGATGGAGACATGGTAAGAAAGGAGGACTAGCCTCAGGAGGGTCTGAATTAGAATTATGGATGTAGAATGAATGACACAACTGAAGAAACATATAAATATCCCCAATGGATTCAGGAATGTAAATTTTGCCCTTATTATAGTTTTATTATTACATAAAATTGTCTTTGATATAATGTATAGTTATCAAATAATTTTTTCCAATATCTGGCACCAATGACTTTCTGGTCTGGTGGCAGGGTCTTACTGACCAGTTGCTGATGGAACGGACTCATTTTGAAGCAGTTGAATTAACTCAAAAAATTATCTCAAAAGAAAGAGGATGTGAATCTTAAAACTATGAGCTGATTTTGTTCTGGCAGATGATTTCAGAATGCCTGTTGATAGTTGTGTTGCTTTAGGAATCAGCATCCTACTCAGTAGGTCATCCACTGCTGAAATGACAGTGTGCATTTTCTTGTTAAATCTTGGGTTTGTGAAAGCTCTAAGTTAATAGTTGATTTGCTTTATTGCTATATATGAATCTCCTTAAATAACTGTTAAATAGCTGGCTTTATGGCTTGACATCTAACTGGAGACGGAGGCAAAGAACAAACAAAAAAAGCTCAATTTTGACACATTCCAAGAATGAATTGGCATAACTTACCTAGCATTGAATATTCCAAGTACTGATTTCAAGGGTTCATAGCAAGAAGTATTTTAGATACTTGAGATTCCTGTGTGGTATAGTAGTCTTGTCTTAATGGTGTTTTAAGAATGGCCACTAATACATTCAGGGACCGGAAAATGTATCCAAATACGAATGTAATTTTAGTATAGCAATTGTTTTAAGTCTGTGTATTCTGTTCTTTTAGTTAACTGGCCAGGATTCAGCATTCAAAGATGGTGGCAATCCAGAAGATGTCAAAAGATCTACGGAAAATGTAACTTTGAAGTGATTTTACTCAGGGGACTAACATCACATAAATACTTCACTCATTTATTAATGTAAACAAAAATGTTTTTTAGTTTAACTTAGTTTTTTTTCCAGATCTTACACCTGTGGGACCTATCTTAATAGTTACTATTAAATGATTTGGTAGTATCTGACAGAAAAAGGCTTTGTTTTTTTTATATATTAATTTACTGCTGTAAACTAAAACTACTGTAAAGACTAAAGTACTTGGCCTCTGCCAAGGAGCATAAAAAGCTCTCTATTCAATGTAGCTTGCTACTGAAGCATAAACCCTTGTGGGCATACCCTGAAATCAAGATGTGATCTTATTGGTAGAATGAAGGTTAAAAACCTGAAAAGGCTCCTTGCATGTTTATAGGGTTTAAAAAATGAGGTGGATGTTGCTAATGTATGTTTAGTTTAAGTATTCTAGCTCCCAGACCTTGTTGTGTCATTAATTTGACAGTACTGCCTAATCCCTTCTGGCTTTTTTAGGGTGTCCTCAGAGGAAAATCCATGCTGATTCCAATTCTCAACACATCCAGATCACAGGTATTATTTATTGTCCCTTAGTTCATAATTAAAGTAAAACCAGAAATTTTGTTTTCTGTATCAAGGCTTATGTACTATTAATTCCTGTGAATTTGGTGGTTCTAAGTAGTAAACTTTTGCCTATCATGCTTCCACCAAATTGAATAGCTGAACAATGACGTTCCAGGTTTACTCAACAGAAGTGAAGCTGAAGTTTCCAAGTTATTGCAGTTGAGAAAACATGTTTCCATTCACTCAAACACTGACACTTTGTTTCCTGATTTGCTTTTTTTTGATGAGCAAAGAGCTGTACTCCTTGCAGATCTTGCATGAGGTGATCTGAGCTCTTATTATCTTAAAATATACTGATTTCTATGGCAAGACTTAGAAGCTTTGAAGTGTATAAATGGCTTTAACTTTTCAGTGTAATGTAAAATGTGATATTGAGGGTTATAAGACTAAGTAATCTGGACAGTAGAAACACTTAGTTTTCCTGATCCTCGGGTCTGAGAAGAATGGTGACTTCTTCTGTTATACTGTTGGGCAATTTATAACCTATTTCCTGCCACCTGTCTTCCCCCACTCCTCAGGAATATAATTATCTCAATTGATGCCAGGGAAGTAGTGTGCAGAGGGCAAAATTTGCTGTGTAAACTGGTGGTAATTAAGTGGTACAGTGGTAAAAATCTTTATGCTTATTTGGTTGATACCGTTTTGATACATAACTGTTATATTCAGCTAGGAAAGGGTTTACCTGCTTCTACTTCTGAATTTTAAATTTTAAATTTTGAATTTTAAATTTCCTTTCTTTTTTTCCTGTGGTATCTTTTTTGTGTTGTAGAGGCTTTCCAGTAAAGAACTACCAGATGCTTCATCTCCTGTTCCAACCAATAGTATTCGTATTATTAAAAGATCCATCAAACTTACCCTTAATGGGTAACCAGTATCTCTCCAGGTAAAAATTTATGATAACTTCTTAAACGGTCCATGTTATCAATATGTATTGTAGCAGCTAACAAAGTATGGAAGGTACTGTTGCCATACTGCAACTGGCCAGTTAAAATCATGCTTGTCTTTTATAGTATTGTTAGATGCTTTCTTTCAAACTATTGTGTTCTTGTAAGTTATCCTTGTTAGTCTTTTAAAAAAGTCTTAACTGTCACTAACTAAAACAACTTTTGAAAAAGCCACAAAAAATAACCTGTCCTGTGACTTGGATTCTGAATGTATGTAAACAGGGTTAACTAGTCACTGCAACCACATTCTCATTTCAAGTGTGTATGAACATGCTTGTGTTAACTCCTGCTTTCCTAGTTCATGTGCATGTATTGTTCTTATATTAAATTATTTTCCGATTTGGCACAGCATCTATCACAATGGTGCTCAGCTGTTTCAGCTTGTAGCTTTCCACTGTCTAGCACAGCCATGCACTATGCAAGTCTTATCTCCCATGGAGGCCCGTAAATAATTTAAGTATTGAAAAAAATGCAGCCAATGATGCTACCAAGGTATGGAGATTTATAGACATGTCCCATGCCATGTTACCTGATTTTTGTCTTAAGACTGCTCCAGCATGAGACTTAAGGGTTTTTTTGTTGTCACTGGATAGCAAAGCTAAACTGGGAACACACAGTTAAAGATGTACTTCAACCTTGCAGCAGCTGAGGCTTTTGTAATACTACTACCCACAGGCAAGCTGCAAGCTTGAACGCAACTGGCATGCAGAAAGTGGTTTCAGATAAACCCTAAAAGCTGTTCTAAATGGTTACATGAAAACTTGTAGTGGTCTTAAGTCTGGTTCTATAAACTGGTAACACTGCTTACCCAGTTAAGTGCAATAGGGGTGGGGAGAAATTCTGATCAAATGAAACAATGTTATGCTATCTCTCTATTGTAATTTCTTTATAATTTGGTGTTTTTTGTAAATGAAATTGTATGTCTTTTTCCAAAGTATTTTTGTATGTATTGTAAAATACTATCTTCTAAAGAGAAATTTAAAATCTTCAGTCTTTTTTAATGCATATGGGATCTGCTTAAGAACCCAAACAACTAAACCAAATGTAAAGGCTGGGGGGGACAGTGCCACAAATGTTCTACAGAACTATGCCATGCCAGAGTAAAATTGAGGAGACAAGGAAGATTGTGTTCCTGCTTCTAGTGTTTGCAGGTCTTGAATTCATGTCTTCTGAATAGTGCAGTTTGCAAACTGTTGGCAACTGAATTTCCAGTTTGCTTATATGTACAACAGGCAGCCCTGAATTTTTTTTAATGTGTTTCTTGGCTTAAACAGCAATTCTGAGCTCTGATCGTCTTAAGCATTCACCTAAAACCCTAGTGACAACACCAAAGAACTGTAAAAGAATGAGGCTTGGATCTTGTAAAGTCAGTGTTCTGTACCATTCCCCCTGCTGCTAGTATTCCAGACTTCCGTAGAATGTATGACTAATTCTCACAACATACTTTTTTTCCTTATTGCCTCTAGTTTCGAGCTTGCTTCAAGTGCAATTTATCTCTTAAGATTTGCGTTAGTGGTTTTAAGAGTTTTCATTGTTCCTTCTCCCCACCAAAAAACTCAAGACTTAGACAACCAGGCTTAGGTTTAGCCACAGGCTAAAATGAAAAAGCAGAATCTATTAATTATGACTTTTAGCAGAACTACACCTTGAGCTTATAAAATGATTACCTCAAATTTGTGACCTCTGTTAAAACCGTGGTGTTCAAATATGGTCAAGTCTGTGTGCTAGTTACAATATGTATATAACTTCAGCACCTGTGTAAATAAAAAAACATCATGAATTTGAAGGAATTAAAGCTGAAATAGGTGATAAACAGCAAAGCAAATATTAAGGGTTTTGTAATAGTCTACAACCTGTAACATTACCATTCCTTTAAATTATCCTACTTGACTATTCCAGGGCTGTTTTGCCCTTAACATCTGTCAACATATGCATTTATGCAACTAGTGTCAAACTAACCTGGCTAATAGTTATCAAAGTATATGCCTTTATACATTTTTTTTTTTAACTCTTGCTTTGCAGTTGTCTTCTAATTGTTCTTACTTTTTTTTGTTCCCTCACTCTTAGGGTTTTAAGAAGAATGTTTAGGAAGAATTTAGGTTACTAGTTTCTCGGACTTGATCCAGCATAGGTGAGATTACATGCTTCATTTTAATATACCCTGAGTCAAGGCTTGGCCCATCTCAGAGTGACATCACTGTTCTGGAGTTTCCCTACAGATTAGATTTCAGCTATTTTAAATAAAGTTCAAACTCAACAATTCAGCTTAAATGTTTTCCTTTGTTTATGGAGCAAGTCCTCTGTTAAAGTGATTGAAAGGAAAGTTACTCATGCATAAAGACTCAGTGAGGGAGTTACTTTGATATCAGACTTTCTGCAAACTTTGGTGTTTTCTATCTGCTCTCTTAGCTGTTTACTGTATGTGTGGCTTGAAAGTACAGATGGAAGGGCTGAGGGATCCACATCAATCTCCTTAAAGAGGAGCAGCTCTGCATTGAAACTGTAAGGTTAGTAACTTTGAGCAATTCCACTGCAGGAATTACTCCTGTGGGTTTACTTGTTAGGTTTAAGCAAAGCAACTGTTAATGTGGAGTCACCTACAAGTCTGAGTGTCCCTATAGAAACTCAAAGTAACAGTACTTTTTTGCCATAATGAGTAAAAAAAGCTAAGGGACAAAAAAAAGTGTCTTGAAATTGTTCATCTTGACTTTGGAATGGAGAGTGTTTATTAAGACTGCCTTTAGGTAATATTTAGTGACATAAGCTGTTTAGCCTAAAAGCACAAGTGAAAACTCCTAGCTGTGTTTTTTGCAATTACCTCATCGCACTTCTTATAAAGAGTCAAGTCCAATGCATTATTCCAGTAACTGACAAGCTGTGGTCATAGTGTGCTATGAATCTGTGTGCAACTCCCTCCCTGGCCTGAAGGCACTCTGTGTCCTCTCCTCACAGGAAACCAAATGGCTGCTGGGGGCACCTCAGTCTGAGCAGTAACCCCCTCCTGTGAAAACTGGCATCTTCCTCTCCCACAGGACCACTCTGGTGGGCTGCAGCCACATCCCACCCCTCCCACACAGCTGTAGTGTGGCTGTGGGGGCCACATGCCCTTTCCCAGCAGGGTGTAGGGGAGCTGTGGCCCAGGCTTCCCCTGCCAGCGTGGGTTTCCTGCCTACAACCTGTGGCGGGGGCAGGCTGAGGGGGGCAAGAGCTGTGTGTGCTGTGACAGGGCTGGTGTATGACTGCACCTAGCTGGGGAGCACTGCTGCAGCTCTGTGCTGGCTGCCCTACCTGACCACCCACCTGAAGGGGTCTGGGGGAACAGCCACAGCTCTCGGCTTCCTGGGCAGCTCTCCTGTTGCTCTGCCTTTCCCCAGATCCTGCTGGGCCAAGCTAGACTAAGCAAAGTGTCAGCATGGACTACCCTTCCCTGTGACTGAGGGTTTCTCAGCTTTCATCTACCCCCAGGGTGCCAAGCTCTTGAGTGTGGCCCAGGTGTTTGAGGCTCCTGAATCTTGTGTATTTTTGCATGGGGATCTTAGCAAAGCAGTAGCCTGGGGGCTGATTTTTCTCTCATATCAGAAGGTACAGCTGGTTGACATCTCAGCTGGCTGACCTTCAAGAAATTTATAGAAATCAAGAAAATAAAACTGGGACTGCTTCTCCTTGGTCAGTTCCTCTTTGCTGGGAAGACCCTGTCTGAATCATCCTGCTCTCTTCACCCAAACTTGTTTCTTATTCACACCTCATCTCTTAACTTCTTATCTCACTCTTGCCTGCCTTTCTCTCTCATAAATCACATCTTCCTTTCTCAGCCAAATCAATCTTTGCTTCCTCTGCATTTGAACTGGGTGAATATGCTGATGGAGTGGGAATCCTGAAACCAGAGGATAAATAACCTGCCCCTTTTCAGTTTTGGTGTGTGGTAGCCTGGCAATCAGCTGCCAACTGCAAAAACCATCTGGCTCACTCTCTGCTCTACTTGCAATGGAGAGAAAGCTGAAAAATTTGGCTGCTAAGCAAGTCGGGCAAAAGCATGTATAAGTTCAAATTTTTGAAGGTTCAACACATGCCTAGATGTGTGGTTTTTCAAAGGAAGAGCAAAAAGTCCAATAGTGACACCAGCCCACCCTCTGAGCTAATTTTCATGTCCCTGTTTTTGAAATGTGAAGAAGAGTTTCTTGATAAAAGTTAAAATTTCTTTGAACATAGTTAAAGCAGCTTATTTTCCCTGTGACTCATTCTGAGAAATGACTGAGTCATTTTTTTGTTTTTCCTAAAAATCAGCTGGAGGTGCAGTATATGTAATAATAATCCAAAGAAAGGTTTTTGGCAGACTTGGAGTAACTGAAAATGTGGCCTTAAAATAGGAAGTGTTGACTAGCCATAGCCAACAAAGTGTGTTGATGTTAATACAACAGAAATAAAACGCAGTGCCTGTTTGCTACAGCATTAACTGCAGCTAGAAAATGCTGCCGTTTATTTTGCAGTTTTAATTCTGCTCTGTTTTTCCTGTGTGGTCACTTGGCAAGAACAGAAAGTGATCGTAAGGGTTCTACCCGAGTGCATGCGCATGAAGAAACCAAGCTGAGGTTTAGTGAATCACTTGATGTGTAAGTGCTTGGCTGAATGCTTTCAGCACTGCTCCAGTATGTTTGTTGCAATTTGTTGTCATATTGTTTTTCCTCTCATTTCTTTGATACCAAATTTTATGATTTATGTCCAGCCTTTTCTACTACTTGAGCAAAAGTGTGTAAACCTGTTATTGTAAGCAATTCAACAGATTTCTAATAACTCAGCTAAAGGATTAACAGCTGTTTTAAGTTACACATTTTCTGCTCTCCCCAGTGAGGGAGGCATTAGACTGTTGAGCAACTGGAAGTTTGTTCTGCTTCTGAGTTGTACATACAAAACCAGAAGTCTTCAA